TGTATCATTCAATTTAGTTATGCACTACTTTGCATGTCATATAGTAGGCACACCATCTTAACTGAGGTTTCCTGGCCACCTTCGACTGCCAGCGACGGGGTCGTGAAGAAGTTACCAGGGATGCATATCGCAGCATGGTTTTCGTCTTCGCGGATGTTCTTCGTAAACAGAAATGGGATCGCCTTCGCTCGGCCACCTCCGTTTGTATTTCCGTGGACGACAAGAGACTCTCGTAGTCCACAGCAATGAGGTTTAATTTTTCGTTGCTCCTTTGTGTAGAAATCTCGACTTATCCCATTTTTTGGGCTGCAAGGCCCCTGGCGCGATGTATCCTACCAGGCTACCTTGGAGGATGGCAGCGTTGTGCGAGGAGTTGTGGAAGCTTCTGGAGTTGTAAGAACTACTTTGTAACTTTGTAACTGCCAATTTACAGCCACTAGTTTCACTTTTTGACTGCTGATCTTCTCGACAAAGACAAGTGCCGTGTCATGAAGGACACAGTTGTGAAAAGTTGGCGCAACTTTTGGACCGCTCGTGGTGGGGATCTTGACCAAGGCCTGCTCACTCATGCGCTGGATCGATTGAAGGTGTGGGCCTCTGACCGCTGCCCGGCCTGAAAGCGGCACGCTGCCTTCGTGAGACAGAGTGTCGCAGTCTCGCCTTCGTCCAGAAGGGCCCGTGCCATGTGTTGCGCACCACTTGTGGCCTCATCTCCCACGCCTTCGCTGATGCCGCCTCCGTCTTCTTCGGCGACGGCGGCGTCATTCCAAGCATCAGCAACTCCTGGGAGTGGCAGTGCAAGTTCCAATGGGCGCAGAAGGTGGTCGCTGATTTCCAGGGAGGCGCCTTCGCCAGCGCCCTCAAGGTGGATGCTTTTGTGTTCAAAGCCCTAAGTTGTTGTAATAAATTGATTATTCTAAGCCTGGGCCTGTGCACCCCGGCAGGTGGCAGTCAGATACTTCAACTACGTGAAGCCCAGATGGGAGAGCAGCGACTGCCCCAGGAGGCGAGTGTGTCACCTCGTGGTGCCGATCGCGCTGCTGCTGGCTGTCACGGCAGCAGACAGGCGGACAGGCGCAGATGAGCGGCGCAGGCAGGACTTGTGTGTCATGGGTCGAAGAGTCCTGCGCAGAATAAAGGGCTGCTTCGGATAGTCGTAAAATTCAAGGTATGTCTCATGTGACACGGACTTGTTGTCTTTGTACCCCTTTCAGGATCCTGGAACAATTGGATCGCCTTCGTCCTCGCCTGTTCGTCGAAATCGGATTATCGTCCGATTGGGGGGCCGAGTTCTTGAGGCTCATACGCCTGTTAGAATCTGACAATCACGATCCCGCGCTGCTGTACGAGCAGGTGAGCCACTGGTTCGAGCGCCAACGTCTGCTGTTTCAAGACCTTCGTATTCTTCACGAGTTGCCTGATGACGGCCCTGATGCCCAATCGGCAACATTTCATGCTGTCACCAATGCCATGCAGTGTCCTCCCTTGTGCGTCAATGGGCGAAATTTTTTTCTTTGGTCTGCTGCCCACGGTGACAAGAAAGAGTTTGCCGAAGCAACTCAACGCTTGTCCGGTCGAGGCCGCCATAGACCGTGTCAAAAGCGAGCTCCTGGAGTCCCCGCAGACTGATTTTCAGGTGTTCCACATTGGACGCTGGCACAAGACGGAGTCCATGTCCGCGGACGAGTTGCGCACGTTCCGCACCTGCACTCGTCTTCGCCTTCGCCGCATGTGTAAACTCGCTGACGAAAGGAGTGTGGAGCAGGCCTTGCAGCAGTACTTCCAGGTGATGCCGATATTGCACGACAAGTACAAGGAGCGCCTTCGGGAAGAAAACAAAGTGCCGGACAACAGAGAGCTTTGGGCCGTCGTCTTCGATGCGGACTTTCCACGGAAGGCCAATGCAGCCGGCAACTTGCGGCAGCTTCGAAGCTTGGCGTTGTCAGAGGCCGTGTTGTCGTAGTGTTCTCTCGCTTTGGCTTTTACCTGAGCCGCCGCTGCAGGGTCTAAATATGTCCCGGAGGCCATAAGTAGGACAGTCAGGGGTCCCAAGTCTTCTCTCAGGTTCCGTTGCGTGTGCACACCGGCGTTGCAAGTAAGCTAGTTTTGCGAGTACTTGGCTTGGGTGTTGGAAATCAGCTTGAAGGCACCTGAACTCTCACTGCCACAAATTAAAATGTTGTTTTAGAGTTGCAACTTCAGGAAACTTGGTCTCGATATACCTTTGCACCTGTCCGGGAGCACGAGAATCGAACGGGACCTTGCAAAAGTGAGGAACTTGGCCTCGGGCCATTGTAATGCCAGAGGCCAACTTTTGACGGCGATGCATGAGGTGGCGATCGACGGCCCGGTGACTGAGAAAGAACTGGCCAACGAGGACACTGGCGAGATGACAGACCTCTGCCGGGAATTGTCGCCTCTGGCTGCAGCGCCATGGCCGTCGCTTTCGTTCTTACAAGGTTCGCCAAACAGTGAGGCTGCCCTGGTTTCGGCGCAAGCCGAGGGTCGCGAAGCCCTGCTCCAAGGCCGGGGGCAAGACAACAGCCTCTTGGGACCGCCGGCATCCAGGCTGCATGCGGAGCCTGCCCGTGCGGAGAGGTGTCGGCTTTGCGCTATGCTGCGGCAGTTCCATAAGACAACCCGGCTGTGCCGTCAGCAGACGACCGAGCAGAAAAGTGCCAGCGCCGTCGGCCGAAATCCCTACCCTGTCGGTGAAAATCGGGTTGGCCGTATTTATTCTCGCTCCTCTCCCGACTAGAATGACTTCGTCATCGGCCGCCGCGGACGAGGAGATGTCAAGGTACTGAACTTGTGCGGCGGCGACCAGCCACTGAACCTCATCACAGGAGCGAAGCTGCACCGCGAAGACATGTTGCATGTCCAAGACAGTGCACAATTGCTGGAACGGTGCAAGTCTGTGAAGTTGGTTTTAGTGGAGCAGTGGGGCAATCTCGATCACCAACCGTGCGGGTCAAAAACGATTCCCCGTACTCTGTTTGTCCTCGAATTTCCCAATCAATGCAACTTATTATTAATGAACACATTGTCACAAAGTCAGTCTTTCTGCAAGGTCCTCTGCCGTGATCGCCTTGGCTGTAGCCTTCCTTGGCCTTCCCGTGTCAACACGTGATCATTGGCAGACCTGTGCAGCACTGGAAGGTCCCAATCGCAGACTAGTCGTCCGCAGGCACAAGGCCGCGCAGTCCCAAAAGATCGCTGTCGTTGTCTCTGAGTACATGATGAAGATGCATTGTCGCGTTGTCGCCCTCATAAAGGCGACAAAGGGCAGCACGGGCATCTCTATTATAATTATTGTGGATTCTGTCAAAGACGCACCAAAGAACTTCGAGGTCATTATGTTCAACGGCGTTGCGGACGCATTCGCCCTTGTTTCTCGGGTTCGCACTCGGCTTATTGTTTTGTACATTATTGAAATATATATATATATATATATATATATATATATAAGCAAGTCGTGACAGTGTTTAGGCCCTGTTGCCCTGGGTGACAGGTTTCGGAGAGTGAATTCTGTGTTTTCGGCCCGCGTGGGCGAGTGTGCCACGGGTAGGCGCTGACATTTGCAGGTACGTGCTTACAAAACACTGGACAACGTCAGGGAGGGCGTCTGAAGATGTGACTTATGATACCTTGAGGGAAACAGCTTTGCATTTTGAGCGCATTAATACCAAGTGGGATTCTAAGAATCTTTTTGCAGGGGATAGTCTGTTTTCCAAAAGCCGTGCATCGAATGAGGGTCCAGTGCCTATGGAAGTGGATGCGCTTCAGAAGAAAGGCAAGAAAGGAGATAAAGGCAAGTATGGCAAGGGCGGCAACCAGCAGCCCAAAGGAAAAGGCGGCAAAGGTGACAAAGGCAAAGGCAAGGGTGGCAAGCAGCCCGAAGGAAAAGGCAGCAAAGGTGACAAAGGCAAGGGTGGCAAGCCAGGCAAGCCATCAGGGAACAAGCAGAATGTTGTGTCACTCGTGCGGCAAGAAGGGTCACTATCAAAGCGAGTGCTGGTACCGTGTCCAGCAAGTCCAGAATGCCGGTAGTGATTGAGCATTGCTAGATCTTCTTTGCAACAGCTCGGGGCCACCTTTCCGAAAGCTTGCTGGGCTGGGTGCGGGCCCGAGAAAGATGTGAGAATGCATCCACTTTATGCGAAGTCTTCTGCCGAGCTGCCTTCGTCCTTGCTTTTTGTCAGGTAGATCACCTCTGTGCATTGGACTTGTGGCTTTGGGTTTTGAGGAGTAGTTCTCGCCTTCGGCCGTGCTGAGCCAATGGCAGTGACAGCATCTATGCAGGAAGCTGCTTTGGCTGCAGTGTCGCAATTTTGGAAAGGACATGGCAGGTGCGTAGGTGGATGGCAAAATGTGTGTCAACGTATCGGCACTGATTGCTCTGGAGTGGAGACAGTGATAATGGCCTGTCGCAGCCTGGGCTTAAAGCACGATCACATGCGACTTGTCTATGTTATTCAGATGAGTGACTGGCAGGTGATGCCGTGCAAAGCCAGGGTGTGCAATTGTAGTCGTGTTGGTCTGCTGGTGAGGGCGCATTTTGACAGTACGCCTCGCCCAGGTTCAGCTCTGACATCGACAAGCGCATCCAGGCGTGGATCAAGGCAAATTTTGTTCCGGGTGAGTTCTTCGACAATGTGCTGTCCCGACGATCATCTGCGCTCCCGCCTTCGTTGACTGCTTATACGCAATAGGATTTCCGTGCCAACCCCTGCCAACCGCTTCGACTTTTGTGTTCCCACGGAAAAGTGTCTGGCCGAGTGCGGAGTGCTCTTATTTTCCGTTCTCGGGTTTAGGGTTTAGGATTTGGTTTAGTGCAACGTTTTTCCTTAGCAGAACTTCCTTGTTCTGGAGGTTGGCCGATCTCCTTGCACAAGACCTCCCGGATCCTACAGCCTGGCAGGTCTTGGAGGATGTTACGCTCCACGCTTGCATGTGGGGCTCCAGTCGCAACAAACGCACCACTTTTCGCGCAACCCCAGGCTTGTGCAGCGCCCTGCGGCGCGATTGTGACGGTTCTCATCAACACTTGTCGTGTACCACCACTTCTTGCGGAGTATTGGCTTGTGGCTCCTCGCGATTGTGTACCACCTGAGTGGCCTCAACGGCCCCTCCCCAAGCATGTCCTGTTTCCGAAAACGGGGGACGAGGTCATCATGGTGTCTTCAGTTGCAGAGGTTCGGGCTCTGGAAGCGGCTAATGCTGGCAAACCGTCAACAGTGGTGGCTCTCAAGGCAGTGGGGGCAACTGGCGCTGAACCAATGGTTGGAGTACTTCGACGACCCCAACAAACCATGTTGGCTACCAGGTCACCAGGTGCTTGGTCCACCCACTTGAATTGAATCTTCCGCTGCCAGACATCCTTGTGAAGGCCGTCGTGAACGTCCTTAGAGTAGGACCTCGGGGCATTGCTTTCCATCGTGCTACGGTCTTGCAGAAGCTGCTGAGCAGAGCGGCGTCGCTCAAAGATCGTGAGCTTGAGCTTCATAGTGGCCTGCATCCAGATCTTCGTAAAGTTCTTGCGGGGAAAAACACAATATTGTGGGAGCAGCTGCTGAAGGAGACTCAATTTCCTGATCCGGGCCTCATCGACGAGGTGAGGGGAGGCTTTGAACTTGTGGGTCCGGCGAACTGCTCTGGAGCCTTCCCGATGGCTTACAAGCCGCCGCAGGGCGATGGAGTCGCGGACGCCGAGCTGTGGTCGCAAACTCTTGGCGAAGTCGAGCAGGGCTGGATCGATGGACCCTATTGGGGTGAGAGTGAAGTCAGTGAGAGGCTCGGCAGCGCTGAGTGGATGTGCACCAGGAGATTCCCCATCGTCCAAGGGCCGAAGGTTCGCATCACAGATGACTGCCTTCAGAGCGGTCTGAACTCTGCCTATGCGGCATACAACAAGCTCAGGTTGATGGACGCTGATGCCTTTATCTCCCTGGTTCTCTTGCTTATCCGATGCTCGCATCAGCCCGGCAGCATGATTCGGCCCGGGGAACAACTCGTCGTGAAGAGACACCCTGATTGGGGCGATGGCCTGGATCTCCTCGGCAAGACTTTGGATCTCTCCGCAGCTTACAAACAACTGGGCTGCCGGCCCGATACGAAGTTCAACAGAGTGTTAGTCGCTTGGAGTCCCGAGCGCCGCTCGCCGGCGTTCTTTGTGTCCACTGCTCTGATGTTTGGAGCGACTTCGGCGGTCTGCTCCTTCAACCGCTGCTCGGCATCCCTGTGGCATCTGGCGGTGACGATGGGTTCAGTTTGCTGCACTGTGTACTTCGATGACTTTCCTTGCGCGGAGCCATCGGCCTCGGCGGGTTCGGCTCAGGACTTCATGGTGGGGCTTCTATCCACTGCAACCGAAGAAGAATCAGCCGTTCTCCCAGACCTTCACTCTGCTGGGGATCGAGCTTTCGCTTACAACTGCGGACCAGGGCATCTTGAAGGTGCGCAACAAGCCGGATCGTGTCGTGGAGCTGCGTGCGGAGCTTGACCGGCTCTTGTCGCAGGGCTACATGAAGAGGTCTGAGGCATCATCCTTGCATGGGCGCCTGAACTTCGCTCAGGGCCAGCTTCACGGTTGTCCCATCAAGCCGGCGCTTAAGTTCTTGTCACAGGTGGCGGCCAACGGGGAGATGCCATGGCTGATGATTTCAAGCTTGTGGTTGGCTACATCGCAGCTTGCTTCGCCACGGACTCTCCGAGGGTGATACATGCTCTTGATTCGCGGTTTGCCATTAAGCTCTTTACCGACGGTGCATGGGACAACAGGATCGCAGGTGCGGGGGCGGTGCTCCAGTACTCCCCGGACCATGGACCTAAGGTGGCGGAGGTGATTGTTCCAGGATGCCTCATCGAGCACTGGGGCAGGCGTGGCAGCACTCAGCTCATCTCGCAGCTGGAGCTCTCTCCAGTGCTGGTGTCTCTGAACCGTTGGGGGCCTGAGTTGGCTGGCAGGCGCATCCTGGTCTTTATCGACAACAACGGTGTGCGTGATTCCTTGATCAAGGGTTCTTCTTCGCTGCCTGATCACTTCGTTATTACGTTATGCTTTCGATGATTGCCTGGGTGGCGCGGCGGTTCCATTTCACGCTGTGGTTCAGTCGTGTGGCTTCAGAATCGAACCCCGCAGACAAGCCGTCTAGATCGCAAGCGCGGGAAGCTGCTGAGGAGCTCGGTGGATCCCTTGAGCCTCCTTCGACCTTGGACGACGATCTCGTGAACGGGCTGCTTAGCAAGCGGTCCTTCATGGATAGGTGCCAAGGGGCGATGCCGTTTGGGTGCATTTGCTGCTCTTCGGTCTCTTGAGATTCCCGTTCGCGTGGCATTCGAAGTTGGGCAGCAGCATCATCCCCGTTTGCGGTCAAAATGAACAACTTTGGCACCCCATACATGTATGATTTTGGTAACAGTAACACACGTGTACAGTAGTAGCTTTTGACTCCAGTTTTCACTTGAAAGACTTGTCGCTCCGCGTTGCTCGAACAGGCTCAGAGTGAGGTTGAAAAGTGTGGGAACTTGTTCATGGTAGCGGAGCACCTGGCCGTCCAGGGGTTCCGACACACGTGGGTGAGCTTCCGTTCGGGATTTGCGTTCGGGGGCCATTGGGCTGCGAGCTTTTGCTTCTGTGGGTTTAGGGGACAGCTTCGGTGAAACTGTAGTGTTTCTCCAGCGCCATAGCCGGCGCCTCCTCTTGAAATCACGACCACAGAAGGCAGTGTTGAGGCTGTCAAGAGCAGACTGCTTGAGTTTTACATAGAACAGCTTGTGCAGAGGGAGCGGCCGACCAATCGTACTGCAGAAGGTTGGAACCGCATTGTTGCTACGCAGAGAGAAGGGTTCGAGGCCCATCTGGCTGCACTGACCACTGTCCAGCAGGTTTTCCAGTTTGGTGAGCGGTGCCTGAAGGACCAAGATTTGAAAGAAGCTTTCCGTTACTTTGCAGCCGAAGACTCCTTTGAGGCAGCAGTTCCCTGGGATCTTCAATTGCGTAGCGTGCATCCAGAGCAGGAGTGTGAGCGCTCCCTCGCAGCAGCCGCAGACCTTGATCGTGTGTTGTTCAAACAGTCCTTGAAGCGTTCAGCTCAGTGCCTAGACATTGATCCTGAGCCCAGTTGTACTTCGTTTTCTGAGCTACGCCCTTCCGAAGGCGTGATCGAGCTTTGTGAGAGCGATGGCGAATGTCAATCCAGCACAAGTGCCGGCAGGTGATGATACTGATGATGAGCTGGGTGCCGATCCCGCTTCTGCTTCGCAGCATGGTGGTGATGCAGGCACCAACCCTTTCCCGTTTTCACCTACAGGTTCGGCACAGGCTAGAGACATGACACCGGAGGTCATGATGCAAATGATGGCACAGATGACGCAGGCGGCCGCAGCCGCGAGCCAGGCAGCAGTCGCTGCTGTAAGCGCTCTGAGCAGCAAGGATGCTGCGCCCTCAGGTTCAACCACTTCAGGGTTTTCCGATGCCAATAGGATACTTAAGCGTCCTGACGAGTTTGGGAGCTCGAGTCACGATCACGATCTTGCGATCTGGCAGGAGTGGTCTCATGGGTTTAAGAGTTGGCTCATTTTCGCAGACGCTTCATTTGAATCAGAGATGCAGGAGATTGAGCAAAATTTGGATCGGTCCCTGGCGAGTGCTCACATGAGTGCCGCAGCGCAGGCGCGCAGCCAACGATTATATGCCATTTTGGCGTCGCTTTTGAAGGCTAAGCCGCGCACCCTGCTTCGGCAGGTGGAGAATAGAAATGGATATGAAGTGTATCGACAGTTGATGGGTGTGTATGCGCCCAAGTCGAAGGCCCGTTCATTGGCCTTGATGAACGCAGTGGTTTCGATGCCAGCATTCACGAAGGACAAAACATTGAGAGAGCAGCTGGCTGCCTTGGAGCGCTTGGCAACTGAATATGAGAGAGTGGCCGGCAAGCCGGTCGGAGATGACGTCCTTTTGGGGACGGTCTTGAGATGTCTTCCACAGGCCATTCGGCAGCACATCCAATTGCAAATGACTGAGACGACTACTTATTCTGCTGTGAGAGATTATGTGGTCTCATACGAGACCACGACGACCCAGTGGTCAACCACGAAGGTTCATCAGTCCTTGGGTGTCGTTGCGCCGCCACCGGGAGATCAAGACCCTGTGCCCATGGATGTTAGCCGTGTGACGCAGCTGATTGCAGAGCTGAATCGCATCAAAGGAGGCAAAGGAAAGAAAGGCGACGGAAAAGGAAAGAAAGGCGACGGAAAAGGAAAGAAAGGCGATTCCAAAGGCAAGCCGTCAGGTGCATACGGTTATCAGGGTTATGGGTACAATAACCAGGGTTGTTGAAGGTGTTCACCCTGGGTGGCCATACCCTGCAGCGAAGCTCACGCAGAATGTTTTCTATGGCTGGGCGCAGAGGCGACTCACGATCTCAACGAAGCAACAAGAGAACCGACAAACCAACAAACGACCAGTACAGCTTTACAAGTTGTTGGTTACAGTACACATGGCTCAAGAGGCTTACCTTTCGTAGCCTTCCCCTACGAGCCGAAGCATAACAGCGCACAAACACTTGCAGACTACAGGTACCTAGCAGCTATACAAGGGCCCTGAAAGCTAGCCACAACTGCAAACTACAAGTGCTGATCACTGACATGCTGGAGCGTTTTCAACACTCCTCCTTGGCTCGCTCGTCAGGGCGACGCCACAAGCTGCGTATTTACAGCATGTCATCTTCGCCTGACCTCGAACCTTCTGGCACCTCAGCGTGTTTAGAGACCTGTGCGGTGGCGGTCTCTGCAGACGCGCAAGTTGCGGGTGGTTAAGGGTGTATTACGCCTTAAACACCCAACAAGTCTGATCTAGAGGCTAGCTGGGTGATCAGTCCAGTTTGCCGTTTTGCATAAGTAATAAACAAAACTTTCTCGAGGATATCCAAGACTGTACATAGAAGTGCACGTAGGGTACAAATTAGGGTTTCGAGTGGCCTGGCTGGTTTACCCCCAGCACACAAGCGAGTGCTACAGGCCTTCTGCACACAGGTTCGGGACTACGAGTACCTATTAATTCGGGTCACCCAAACCAGTTAAGGTCTGACAGGGGACCGGCTTTCGCTGCTGCAAGGAGTTGGCTCATCACGACAGCTCCTCCTGGGCTTGTACCTCTGAATTAACACAGGGCCAAGTGCACATATGCTCTCTTTGGCTTGAGCGGCACTACCTGCTTTTCAAAACAGCGTGGCTGAAGCAAAAGGCTTCAACACGGCCTACCCTTAGGGTGGCTGCACTCCCTCTAAACTGCACCATCATTTGAGCGCGGACCTCATGCATCAAACAACTGATTGGTTGGCAGCGCGGCAACTGCCTGACAAATGCCTTGAAGAACCTGGGGCGAAACAGTTGTTGAGTCTTGCGTTGGGGCACTTGGCAGTGCGAGTTGAAGCTGCGATGATGGCTGCTCCTCCTGGGTTGAAAGCTGGAGGGAATGATGAGAAGCTTGAGGACCTGAAGCGTGCGAAGCGTGCTGTGTTGCCTGCACGACCTGAAGCGCAGCCTGAAACACAGTCGCCAACGCTTGCAGTAAGTCTTGACGGCCTGGGATTGCTCCCGGCTGTAATCTCCTGCCAGTGCCAGCTGCAAACTGCAGCTTGTCCTGCTCCTCCTCATTCGAGCTACTCTGGTGTCCAGAGCTAGAGGACCGAGTACCGGCACCTAACAACCCTAACAACAAACCAGTTAAACCCTGAGGCTCAGCGGCGGAGGAGGAGGAGGAGGAGTTGAGGAAGGGACAGGGGTCAGTGCATCCCCGGACGTTGTAGCAGTGCGCGAACCAAGCCCACTATCACCAAACCTACTAAAACTCACCTCCTCAGCACCCACCTGCTGCAACGCCGGCGCCTCATATCCACCAGCCTGCTGAGACTGAATCCTCCAGACTTCAGCCTCAGCACGACCGGTTTTCTCCTGTTCCTTTCGCAAGCGCTGCTTCAACCCTTCAAGCTGTGGCGCCACTTCTGCCTGAATCGCATCATGCGGAATAGATGAGGACTCGGTGTGGGGATGCCTGTCTGGAGACCCGTAGAGCAAGGGAGCCCTTTGCTCCATGGCAGCAAGCTGCTGCGCGTTGGCACCAGTGAACAACGGCATCGGCACTTGACACTCATCTTGCAGGACGCGGCCTCCTCTCTCGAGGGGCTGTAGTGGTCGCGACGGCCTTGGAGGAGAAGTCAGTGGACTGGGAGCCCACCCTTGCGGCAGTGGCTGTACGTTCGCCGCGCCACCAAACAGAGACTGCACTCTTCCTAGCAACTGACTAGCAAAAGCCTGAGCCCCAGTCTGCATGACCGCTGACGCCCCGTACGCCGTTGATCTGGGCGTTTCAAAGCCCTCAGCACTACTTCCAGGATTCGCTGCAGATGGGTTGTACCCTGAGACGCCTGCGGCAACATTGATCTGAGCGCTAGCCATTCCACTTTCGGTGGCCACACTGAAACCCTGAGTCACTGCAGTTGCATCTCCATGCACCCCACTCGCATCAGCGACCTCCGCGGTAGATACTGCTTCATACGTAACGCCAGCTGTACCCAAGCCTCCAACCTGGCCTAGTGTTCCATCGCCTCCTGTCCTACCGACTGCTGAAACTCTCGGTCGGCCGGCTGTTCCAACAGTTTCTTGTGGCAGCTGAGGGGATGGCACTGGACCAGCTGTGGAAGTCGATGGCCCCGACGACGCATCCATCATAGTTTGCTGGATTCCATCCCCAATAGGCTGCGCAAGCCCAGAGGGCGATGGCACTCCAACTCCGGCGGTTGTACCATTCACTGTAGTCTGCGGTGCATCCCCGCCTCCCCGCACACCAGGCAGAGAGGCCGGAGAAGCCACCGCTCCGGTTGCTTCTGGCCCAGGCGTTGGGCTCATCACCTGTTGAAGGTGTTCACCCTGGGTGGCCATACCCTGCAGCGAAGCTCACGCAGAATGTTTTCTATGGCTGGGCGCAGAGGCGACTCACGATCTCAACGAAGCAACAAGAGAACCGACAAACCAACAAACGACCAGTACAGCTTTACAAGTTGTTGGTTACAGTACACATGGCTCAAGAGGCTTACCTTTCGTAGCCTTCCCCTACGAGCCGAAGCATAACAGCGCACAAACACTTGCAGACTACAGGTACCTAGCAGCTATACAAGGGCCGCTGAAAGCTAGCCACAACTGCAAACTACAAGTGCTGATCACTGACATGCTGGAGCGTTTTCAACAAGGGTGGTAAAGGTGGTGGTAAGAAGGGTGAGCCGAAAGGCAAGAAAGGTCAAGGAAAAGGCGACGGAAAGAAGGGCAAAGGCAAGTCCAATCCCAACCTTGTGTGCTGGTATTGCGGTAAGACTGGCCATCCACAGCATTTGTGTTTTCAGAACCCCAACCGCAAGCAGATCAATCAAGTTGAGCAGTCAGGTGCAGTTGGAAGTGGAAGCCCAGCGCCAAGCACCGTTGGCCCGAGCGCGAGCCAGCATCCGCAGCAGTCCGTGGCCGGCAGTGCTACGACAGTCAGGCGTGTTGATGCTTCAGAGCCTTTGATTTTCGATTTTAGCGATGTGCAGAGCCCAGCTTCCGTTGACATCAGGGCTATCGTTGCTGAGTTTGAGGGACCAGAATTTGGGTCCGATGCCGAGAATTTTCATTTTCATGCACCATGCCAATTTTTCGACATGACGTATTCTGATGCCGATGCAGACTGGCTTGTGTTGCCGGGCGAGCCGAGCCCTGTGGAGCCTGAGCTCCTGCGTGACGGTGTGGAGCCCATTTTGGGCGATGTGGCAGCTTCTGTGCTTGAGACCAACCTGCGTGAGGTCGAGGTGTCTCCAGCCGTGTCAGTTTCTGTCCGAGCAGTGAATGGTGCAAGGCCTGAGGTTGATTTGGAAGTGATTTTGGATTCAGGGGCTGACTTGAGCTGTTTGCCAATCGCCTTGGGGTCCACAGGTGTGCGAGGGCCGAGAGCAGGCCGCATTGCGGTGCGTGATGCCCAAGGTGGGCGCCTGCCAGTGAATACCACCAGGGATGTAGAATTTTCCTTGAAGGCCCATGATGGAAGGGAAGTGGTTTGGAAAGAAAGGTGCATCGTGACATCCGTAACCCAACCACTGTTGGCTCTTGGAAAATTGATGCGGGCAGGATGGATTCCGTCCAAAGACGATTTCGGAATGTTTTTGCAGCACCAGGAGAGCGGAGTTATGGTTCCAATTGATTTTCGGGGAAATAGCCTTATGGTTCATGCCACTTTGCGTAGAGTAGACGGTGAAGATGCTGAGTCAGCAACTGGCGAGGAGCCGGATTCCAGAGATCCGGATGCCAGAGATCCGGATGCCAGAGATCCGGATGGCAGAGATCCGGATGCCAGAGATCCGGATGCCAGAGAGCCGGATGCCCACGATCAGGATGCCGAGGGGAGTTTGCATGTGCGTGCGACAAGCGCGCGTCCCAGCAATGAGTTGGTTGATGCTTCATTTGGCTGGCAGACCTTGGAGAGCACAGGACATTTTCTGTGGCGGGGAAGAACTGACAGGTACATTGATCCAGCCACACTTGTGCCGATCACTTGGCCTCATCGCACGACTTTGGTGTATGCCGGTGCAGGCTGGCAAATGCTTGAATGGTGTGTCGAGTGGCTAGAACTTAAGGATCCTGTTGCTTTGCTTCAATGCGGTATGTGTGACTGCATCACTGTGCTCAGCATGAATCAAGAAGAGCCAGGTGACTTCGGTGTTGAGCTCGATTCGGGACTGTCTGAGCATGTGAACGACAGCGGGTTGCAGGCAGAGTTAGAATTGCAAGATGCCGATGAGCAGATGCCCGAAGTGCCAGGTCAGGCCGACCCGCCGGAGCATGAAGCCGTGGCACCTGTGCCACTTCCCGACACGGTGGAGCCGGGTTCAGCTTTGCATGCAGAGCAGGATTCAGTGATCACAGTGAATGGCGTAGGACTGTCGATGGAGTCGACTCTGGGAGCTTTGCGTGCCGGTTGCAAATTTCTGAATTTGTCGCAGTCGGGATCCAAGCAAAGGTGTTTTCAGCGCTTGCAGGGATATGTGCAGAAGCAGATTTAGAACGGAGCGGAGCGAAGTTCTTAATGTTTTATACCCGGACGATGCTTTTTGGCATTGGCCAAAAACTTGATTTCGCAATCACGTTTTTCAATCACTTGTTTTGAACCACTCTTTTGCAAGTTCCTTTGCATGATGTCTCTTATGCTCTTGGCATAACGAATGTTGTGACTTGCAATTCTTGATCAAGGGTGGGTGGGAGGGAGCGCCTCCTTGAATGGGCAAATTTTACATGGCCTGGGGGTGCTGCTTTGAACAGGTTCTAACGGGCCCTTGAAACGAAACTTTGACGTTTCCTGTTAGAGGGCCCGGTCCATGGATGCTGACCTTTCTGGTCACCTGAGAAGGAAGAGGGACAGCAGTGCTTTGGATGATCACTTGATTTATGCTGTCCGTGTTTCCACCACTACATCTGAGAAGCAGCCCTGGGAGAGGGGCGACATCCTGGCGCCTCGATCAGCTTTCTCGTCTCCCTTCCCGAGTGTCGGCAGGCCTCAGGTAGCTGTGCAAGTGCTGCCTGCCCCAAGTTCGTCTCCTGCGGGAGCTGTTACAACTTCTGTGGCTGTTAAAGTATTGGGCAAGCAGCCGACGACGAAGGGGCCTAGCTGGGAGGAGAAATTGACTGATAACAGACGGGCTGCAGTGGCAAAATGGGAGGCTCTTCTTATGGCTCACGGCGAGCACTTTGATTGCTACAGGGGAGTCAGTGGCGACGCCAGTGCGGGACGCAAGGCAGATCTGGTTCAGACGCTGAAGGACTGTTTTGCGGGCAAGGCGAGCGCAACTCTGCACTCGAGAGTGGGACCTATGATGCGTTATGTAAAGTTTACCAAATCTGCTGGTCTTGATGCTTTTCCTTTGACTGAGAGTGTCTTATATGTGTTCATGGATCAGTATTGTCGGACGGCGGCGGCAACCTTTGGAAGGAGCTTCCTTGAGTCTCTGAATTTCGCTGTGCATGTCTTGGGCCTCGATTTGCATGTGACCATCAGTGGCAGGATACAAGGGGTAGCCAAGACCAGGTACCTTGAAAAAAGGAAAGCTGTCCAGAAGCCGGCGCTTACAGCGCTGCATGTGAGGACTCTTGAGAAGATAGTGATTGGAGGAACTATTGAAGAATACAGCGGCTTCGACAGACATTGCGCTGGGTTTTTCTGCTACACTTTGTACGCTCGGGCCCGGTTTTCCGATGCCCAAGCCTCGGCTAACCTCATGCTTGATGTCACCGAGAACGACGACGGGCCTTATGGGTTCCTGGAGGCCTCTGTTACGAGGTCCAAGACCTCGTATACTCTGGAAAGAAAAACGAGATTCCTTCCAATGGTTGCTCCTATTAATGGACTGCTTGATGAGTCTTGGGGGACTGCATGGTACAAGCTCATGAAGGAGCAGGCGGTGACCCTTCGAGAGGGTTATCCGTTGCTGTCGTCGCCTGTCACTGGCGGCGGGTTCAGTCTGCTGCCCATCTCGGCCGAGCATGCTGCGAGGATTTTGCGGGAACTTTTGAGGCGCGAGCTCGGTGATTCTGCTGACATCAGAAAGCTTGGAACGCACAGCTTAAAGAGGACCTTATTGAGCTGGCTTGCCAAATATGGAACGGAACAAGGCGTGAGGGCCATTTTGGGCTACCAGCGGCTACCACAGCACTCACTGTGGAACGGAGTTGGTATATGCCAGGGACACGCTGAGCGGCCCATTGCGGCAGCTTGGATCCGTTGTGAGTGCTGTGGCATTGGATCATTTCCGGCCTGACAGCACGCGCTCGGGATATTTTCCCAGTCGCAAGGGTCGAGAAGATGCAGGCTTCGACCCCAATGCTCCGGAGCAAGAAGAGCTTGACAGTTCTTCCAGTGGAAGTGAAGACGAGGAGGCTCCGGATCACGATGAGGTCGAGAAGGCCTGTGATGCTCTGGCTTCCTGGGAGCCTCGGCCGGGTCTTCGTGATCTGATCGGTGAGGGCCCAGTCTTCAAGCGTAAGACTACGAGGGTCATTCATTTGATGGCCAGCAGTGATGAAGGCGATCGCTTTGTATGCGGTCGCAAGCCGTCAACTAGCTACCCAGACGGCTGTGCCTAATGTTTTGTTTCCCCTTTGCAGGCAATGCTGTCCTGACCAGGACGGGCCTTGAGTTTCACGCGAGATCGGCGAGAGGTCATTGCAACGTGAGCGGTTGTGCTACCGGTGAATGCTTCCGGCTTGCATGGTATGTGAGGAGCTTCTGTCTTGATGCTGTGCGATTTGCAACCGTGCACCTGAGACGATCCATGATCTTCTTTGTTAGGGCCTGTAGCCGAGTGCTTGGGCCGTGCCATGGCGGCCTCGTACTCAGAGTCCGAAGCTGTCTTCAGCGACAAGGTCAGGACCTCGGGCCTGTCGGCTGCTGACCAGACTAATGTGTTGGCTGGACTGAAGAATTTGAAACAGCTGGCATTTGTCAGCTCCTTCACTCCGGGACAAGCCGATGAGAAGCCTTTGATTGCGGCTTTGGATGCTCTAGTCAAGAGGGACACCAGTGCTGACTTAGCTGCTCAGGCGTGCTTCAGGGCTCTTTTCCAGCAGGCTTACGCCATAGTCACCACCGAGTTTAGGCAGGCCATTGAGCGCACTGAAGACGCTCCCAGTCGGTCTCTCAGCGCGCCTGAGCGAGAGGAGCGCTACACGCGACAGGTGAAGAAGTTAACCGGGATCAACATAAAAGGCGAGACTGAACCAAGTCAGGCCTTGGTCGACCTTTGCGTGAATATATATGAGTCGAACACATTGCGCTACGTGGCCTGGGAGAAGTGCACTAGTCGGCTTGCAGAGGTTCAAGGCGATGCCAAAAAGGACACTCGATTCACCCTCGATGCTCAGGGCAAGACCTTGAAGCTTGAGTCGAAGGCCCCAGATGACAAGTGTCAGGTCGACTCCGAGGTGCATCTTCTTCAGGCTTTACAGCGCAGAGCCCTTGCCCTGGATCAAGCCAATGTTGTTGATTATATGCTGTCATCGATGTCTGGCATCAGAAGTTGCTTAGGGCGCGGATGCAGGAAGTGCCAGCAGGTCATGTCCGGCCCAGCTTCAAGCAGCTCTTGCGGGCCGATCAGAAGCTTTTCTCGGAGTTGCAGGACCGCTGTCGTGCAGGAATCCAGGCCACATCAGCCGGCCGCCCCTTGGATGGCCTGATTCCGTTGGTGATGGATCTGAGTGATGTGGCAGTCCTGTTGCAATCCCTGCCTGGAAATGCCTCCTCCTCTTCTGATGTGCCTCCGGGTCCGTGGGTCTCTCGCGAGAGGCCGAGCCCATACACTCGAGAGGGTAAAGGCCGAGGCAAAGCGGGTAAAGGACGGGCCAAGGGGAAGGGCGTGTTGCCTAAGCCGCTTGTGGGCTGCTACAGTTCGACAAATGCTGGCGAACCCATATGCTTCGATCACAACATCAATGGATGCAGCCGGGCCGTCAAAAGCGGCAGATGTGAGAAAGGGATACATATATGTGCCCGATGTCGTCAGAGCGGCCATACTGCTGCTAACTGCCCCAAGAAGGAGTGACTATCGAGTGTGGTCGATGCGACTGCAGGTGGCTGGGAATGTCCCCAGCTTGACTCATTGGAGTCTCAATCCCTGAGTTCGGCTAATGAGCTGGACCATGCAATGCCTTGCCCTGTGGGGCCTGCTGCAACATTGGTTGCTGCTTGTGCTTCACTCAATGAGAGAATGCATGATGCCGGTTCGCCCGTGGGCGGTGAACCTTCTGTTGGAGCGCGTGATTGTGCCACCGCGGATTCTCCTAAAAGGAAAGCCAATGACAGCGACCGTGAGTCGCCGGGCAAGGCGCCTCGACTTGAAGGCCCTGAAGCCCTTGCCTCTGACTTGCACCGCAAACACTTGTTCGATGCAGCTAGTGTGCTTTCTCTATTTGACCTTCTGCCAAAAGCTGATATCACACGACTTTCTCAAGCCAAAGGCTCAGTCTTCGCGGTGGGGTCGTATTCTCACGGTCCTATCAAAGGTTTGCGGCATTTCACCCGAATTTATCCCAATGTCTGCCGATACTTGTGTGCTTGCGTCCTGCATGTCCTTCCGACGCACAAATTTTCAAGTCTGCTGATCTCTGACTCGGTTGAAAGTCAACCTCACACTGATCCCAACAACGGCCCGACTTTGGATCTCCTGATACCTCTGACGCACTTTTCAGGTGGCTCACTGCGAGCCGGTGATTGCGACCTCGACTTCAGTCGGGGTGCCTGGGCTTTCAATGCTCGTGACGGCTGCCACGCCGTGGCGCCTTTTCAGGGTCGTCGGGTTATGCTCATTGCTTTCAGCACCAAGGGCGTTTGCGATTCCGACTCTGAGGTGTTGTCTCAGCTCCAGTCCTGTGGTTTCGCCCTTCCCAGGGCTGATGCTGTGATGCCCGCATCTCCAGTGGGCCCTCTACCTGACATCAGGAGCTCTGTTACTCATGAGCCCCTGAAAGTGCTGAAGCCTTCCCGGCTTGTTGTCCTTGACCTCTTCTGCGGACGAGGTGCCGTGGGCCATGCGTGTGCCGAGATTGGGTTTAAAACTTTCTGTTATGGGTCCCAGTCTGCGGGCCCTGTCAAGCATAAGGTGTTGCAGCTCAGGCCCGAACGACAATCCACTTGGCAATACTTGCGGCGCCTTGTTATGGCTCACCGGGTCTATCATGTCCACATGTGTCTTGATCAGACCCTTAATTCTGCAGAGCTTGATCATGTGACATCCTTTGTCGCTCACGTGCTACAGCTACAGATTGGACTTACCGCTAGCGGCCCGGCCGATAACTCAGTTTGGCAACGATCGCCGTTCAGTGACTCTTTGCCTTCGTGCGTTGGGCCTGGCTGCTCACTCGGCCTCGGTTGCAAGACTGTTCGCGTGGCCTCCACTGTTCTGGCCTGTACTGATTTGCGTGCTTGCTCTTGCTCTTGCCCCGACAAGGCCTTTGTTCTCGGCAAGGCGTATGCGGAGAACCTTGCCGAAAATCTGCGTTTGCAGGCGGCTGGTGAGGCCCCAATCGGGGTTGCCAGATGCTAATCCTGCCGTGCACAAACAAGCTAAGCTCACGAAAATGCAGCCGATTATGCCCGAGTTCAAGTATATGGTAAGCGTGCACGTCGCTGATTGCTCCCAGCTGCGGCTGGATGACAAAAGGTGCCTGCAAACCGCTTTGCAGTCCGTTCCCAAGGGTGCTAGGCTCCTTAGGCTCGCTTTTCTTGGGGGTGGTTCTCTTAAGCCTAAGTCCCTCTCCCCGTTGCCGAGTACCCCTGCCACCGCCACGTTTGGCGTGTTTCGGACTCCTGATGAGTTCGTTGCTGCCAGCTTGCGCCTCGAGCATCCGTTCGACGCTTTTGCACACGTGCCTGATGGTCTCATCAGGAATTTGGGGCGGCTGCTTATCGACGGCCCCTTGCCCGTCATGCGACGCCGGCTTGACCTACTTACCAAGTGGTCTGCATGGGCCGATGAACTGGCCGAGCCTGAGAGAGCTCTTCATGCTTCGCTTGATCCTAGAGTTGGTGCGGTCCTTTCTGGCAAGAAGTTGCTGTTGCTGGATCGAATCGCCAAATCCCTTGCCTGGCCAGACGAAGACCTTTTTAAGGACCTCAAGGAAGGGTTCGGCATAGTGGGTTCCGCGCCTGTCACGGGGGTTTTCGCACCATCCTTTAAGCCTTCGGAGTTCACTGAGGAAGAGCTTGATCAAAGATCGAAATTCTTGCGACCGGCCCTGTGGGCCAAGATCTCATCTTCAAAACCTGAGGATTCCGATGCCGAGCTTTGGAGCCAAACTCTGGCTGAGAGGGATCAGAAGTCTTGGCTGAGCGGCCCATATAGCTACCAGGAGCTCACTGAGATTTTGGGTCCGCACTGGATACCTGTACGGAGGTTCGCGATTTTCCAACGGGGGAAGCTGAGGTGCATTGACGATTTGTCCGAGAACAGTGTCAACTCGTCCTGGGAAGTGGCAGAAAAGATTGACCTGCGCGCGATGGACGAACTCCTTTGGATAACATCGAGGCTCATGCAATCCATCGTCGATCGAGGATTTGTCAACCTTCGTCTTTCTTCTGGTGAAGTGATCAGCGGCCCTTTGCATACCGTGTGGCGTACGCGGCCTGAGTCCGCGCGCCCAGTCTTGAAATGCGTGGATTTGAAGTCTGCTTACAAACAGTATGCTATAAGGCCATGTGACAGCAAGAGGTGTGTGGTCAGCCTCCGGCGGCCCTCCGACGGGCAAGCCGTCGGTTTCATTTCACATACCCTACCCTTCGGCTCGCTCGCGAGCGTAGGGTAGTTCAATCGCGTTGCCCGCTTGATTCACCGCATCCTTATTGAGCTGGAGTGCCTGGCCTGTAACTATTATGACGACTACCCAGTTCTCGATGTGAGTATGCTTTCGGCCAACACCGAGAGGACGATCCGCAAGCTAATGCGCCTCTTGGGCGTGATCTGCTCAGAGGACAAGGAGTTGCCTTTTTCTTCGGTGGCCGATCTCTTGGGGGTTCGCTTGGACCTTAGGGCTAAGGATTTTTCTTGCGTCACTGTTGCCAACAAGCCTGACAGAGCTCGCGAAATTTCCGAGTCGGTCGCTAAAGTCCTATCGGATGGCCAGGTGGTGGTCAGAGAAGTCGACAGCTTGTTTGGAAGGATTCAGTATGCCGATTCCCAAATCATGGGCCGAAGGGGCAAACTGGCTTTGAGCACGCTTAGGAAGCTCTCGCGAGGCTCAGGCGTTCATCGACTTTCTCCTACTGATCGCGAGGCCTTTGCTGTCTTGCAGATGCGCATGGATGCTGGCGAGCCCAGGCGCATACAGGTTGGAAGCTCTGGACCTTCACTTGTTGTTTACACTGATGGCGCGTGTGAGCCTGGTGCTACTCGATCGCTCTGCACCGTTGGGGGAGTACTTTATGCTTCTTGGAATGGGGCTGTAAAGGTCCGATACTTCGGGGTCACGCTGAGTGACTCCCTGGTCGACCTATGGGCCGAGAGCGGCAAGAAGCACCTGATAGGGCTTGTTGAGTTGTATGCTCTAGTGCTCGCGAGATTCGTCTGGGGTCGACTCCTCGACGATCGAAGGGTGCTTTACTTTATCGATCACGTGGGGGTGCTCGCCGCTACCATCAATTGCACATCCAGGGACGAGCTGTGGAGGACTCTGCTTATACACCTTGAAAAGGCCGATGCCAGGCCTTGCATTGGGTGGTATGCTCGTGTGCCTTCTCAGTCTAATCCCGCTGATCCCCCGTCGAGGGGCTGCTGGATCTTTCCGATGTGCGAACATGCGATCCGGGACCATCCTGCTTGTTTTGCCACGGGCGAATTACTGCGCTCGTCTTGACTTGGGGATATGGTCCTCGCTTCGTGACAGTGGTCACTGCCCAATGGGGCGGTTTATGCTATGTTGCTTGTGTCATGCAGGATGTGTTTCACGAATGCTCGAATCCCAGATCGCACGTGCGAAAATCCTGACGTTGTGCCTCCAATTTCATATGCTGTTTTATATTCGTCTTCCCACATAAGTGTATTGGGGAATACGGCGATGGATATACGATTGCATTGATTATGAGTCGATTGCGGAATCGAGTTCCGGGAATAAGCAGATTTAGAACGGAGCGGAGCGAAGTTCTTAATGTTTTATACCCGGACGATGCTTTTTGGCATTGGCCAAAAACTTGATTTTCGCAATCACGTTTTTCAATCACTTGTTTTGAACCACTCTTTTGCAAGTTCCTTTGCATGATGTCTCTTATGCTCTTGGCATAACGAATGTTGTGACTTGCAATTCCTGATCAAGGGTGGGTGGGAGGGAGCGCCTCCTTGAATGGGCAAATTTTACACCCGCCCGCCCAACCCGGGGATATGGTCCTCGCTTCGTGACAGTGGTCACTGCCCAATGGGGCGGTTTATGCTATGTTGCTTGTGTCATGCAGGATGTGTTTCACGAATGCTCGAATCCCAGATCTTATGTGCGAAAATCCTGATGTTGTGCCTCCAATTTCATATGCTGTTTTATATTCGTCTTCCCACATAAGTGTATTGGGGAATACGGCGATGGATATACGATTGCATTGATTATGAGTCGATTGCGGAATCGAGTTCCGGGAATAAGCAGATTTAGAACGGAGCGGAGCGAAGTTCTTAATGTTTTATACCCGGACGATGCTTTTTGGCATTGGCCAAAAACTTGATTTCGCAATCACGTTTTTCAATCACTTGTTTTGAACCACTCTTTTGCAAGTTCCTTTGCATGATGTCTCTTATGCTCTTGGCATAACGAATGTTGTGACTTGCAATTCTTGATCAAGGGTGGGTGGGAGGGAGCGCCTCCTTGAATGGGCAAATTTTACACCCGCCCGCCCAACCCGGGGATATGGTCCTCGCTTCGTGACAGTGGTCACTGCCCAATGGGGCGGTTTATGCTATGTTGCTTGTGTCATGCAGGATGTGTTTCACGAATGCTCGAATCCCAGATCGCACGTGCGAAAATCCTGACGTTGTGCCTCCAATTTCATATGCTGTTTTATATTCGTCTTCCCACATAAGTGTATTGGGGAATACGGCGATGGATATACGATTGCATTGATTATGAGTCGATTGCGGAATCGAGTTCCGGGAATAAGCAGATTTAGAACGGAGCGGAGCGAAGTTCTTAATGTTTTATACCCGGACGATGCTTTTTGGCATTGGCCAAAAACTTGATTTCGCAATCACGTTTTTCAATCACTTGTTTTGAACCACTCTTTTGCAAGTTCCTTTGCATGATGTCTCTTATGCTCTTGGCATAACGAATGTTGTGACTTGCAATTCTTGATCAAGGGTGGGTGGGAGGGAGCGCCTCCTTGAATGGGCAAATTTTACACCCGCCCGCCCAACCCGGGGATATGGTCCTCGCTTCGTGACAGTGGTCACTGCCCAATGGGGCGGTTTATGCTATGTTGCTTGTGTCATGCAGGATGTGTTTCACGAATGCTCGAATCCCAGATCGCATGTGCGAAAATCCTGATGTTGTGCCTCCAATTTCATATGCTGTTTTATATTCGTCTTCCCACATAAGTGTATTGGGGAATACGGCGATGGATATACGATTGCATTGATTATGAGTCGATTGCGGAATCGAGTTCCGGGAATAAAGAACGAATTTCTTCAGAAGTCGAGGTGGCCCGACAGGCCGAAGGTGATGATGCACGGGAGCCGCGCATGCAGTTCCTGCCTGAGCCTCCTAGTGAGGAGGCCCGCTTGCTTCACGAGATCACGCATCTGCCTTATGCTAGCTGGTGCCCGCACTGCATCGCGATGAAGAGTGTTCCTGATCAACACCGCGCCGTGCCGGAAGGCAATGCACGAGAACACCCCACAGTTTCTTTTGATTTATCTTACACGGGGTATGATCCGACAGGCAAGCTTGAGAGTGGCCCCGATGATCGCGGGGGTGACCGAGACAAGCTTACGTGCCTCATTGTGCATTGCAATCACACTGATGCCATTGCTGCAATTCCATTGCCTGACAAGAGTGCTGCAAGCATGAAACATGCCGCGGTTGAACTGAGCTTAGGTGCGATCAAGAACCGTGTATGCTCCAACTGCAAGGCCTAGCTATGAATGCGCGTAAGAGGCTTGGGTTTCGCACTAGGATTCGGAATCCTCCGATAGGAGCCCACCAGGCGAATGGACTTGCAGAGAAGGCCGTGGATGTCATCCGGTCACTGGCCAATGTGTTCCTTGATGCAGCGAGGCACCGCTATGGGATCATGATCCCGGTGTCCCATCCGCTTTTCGCCTGGAGCTTTGTGCATGCAGCATGGACATATACTCGGTTCAAAGTCAAAGGTGGCTTAACATCGTACGAACGCATCACAGGCTGCAGCTATCGCGGAAAGTTGGTTCCCTATGCCGAACCGATCTTTGCATACATCAGGACTGCCAATTCTCCCAAAGGAAATCCCAAGTGGGTGCAAGCAGTGTTCCTCTCCAAAAGTTGGATCAACGATATGTTCATTGTCGGAACGCCCTCAGGAATCATGCTTTCGAAATCTGTGCGCCGTACGGGCCAGCCGTGGTCCACGCAGAAGACATTGGCCGAGGCGATCGCAGGTGCTCCGTGGAACTTTCAGTTAGGCTCTCTTGGTTTGAAGACCGTTCCGCAAGGGCGGATCCGAGCGCCAAATCCGGCCGAGCAGGCAGCTGTGGTCGATGGCTCGGCACCTGAGTTGCCGTTGCCGCCTGAGGTGCCGCTGCCACTTCCGAGTGCCCCTCTGAATGCTGAGGCCGGTGGTATCGGTGACCGTGCAGGGCTGCTGGCCCATGGTGCAGATGAGGAGCCGGGACCTGCGCCAGTGTCCAAGCGTGCCACTTTGCTGCTTTCACGCGGCGATCGAACGCCAGCTACACCGAGTGCTGTGACCCCAGGTGCCATGCCTTCGTCAGTGAGTGTTCAAGCACAGCATGAGTCGCCACTGCCCCGAGTGCCAGATGAAGCAATGCTTGAGGTATTCTTGCCTAAGAGGTCGGCGGGGACAGGTGACGGCGGGGAGGAAAGTCCTTCTAAGACTGCTAGGCTTCGCCGTGTTGCAAATGAGCACTTGGCTGTGAATGATGAAGAACTTGAGGTGCCTAGTGAATGGGATGATTTGGACTTTTCTTCCAAGGGCGATGCTGTAGCAACAAGCGGTAGTCTCAGTGTTGGCCAGACGGCAAACACAGTTGAACATGAGTGGGATGCGAGCCCATTGCCTCCTGAGACTGCCCAGCAAGCAGGCATTTTGTCTGATGATGAACTGAAGGCTCTGGAAGCCCAGCTGTGGTTTCCCGAAGAGCCCACCTTGAGTCCTGACGAACAAGCCAAGGTTGATGCCATTGCAGACAGGTTTGAGGTGCAAAGGTTGATTCGCAAGCGAGTTCTCAAGTGTGCCGGGTTGCGAGGTGAAGTGTCCGAGGAAGGTTTCAAGCGCTTGTCAACGAAGTTTGTGAGGACATGGCGCAAGAAGGTTAAAGGCGGTGTTGAAATGGTGCTGAGACGGTCCAGGCTATGTGCACGTGAGTACAAATGGCTAGAGGCCGACCGTCTTGACATTTTCAGTCCTGCCAGCAACACTGCCGTGTCTAAGCTCTTGCCGTGGCTGTTTGCTCGGATGAAGAATGAGCCCGGTGCCAGTGCTGGTGACGACAGACCATCTATGCTTACGCTTGATGTTAAGGACGCATACTTGACGGTGCCGCAGGCATTTTGGCTCAAGGTTTTGGCTCCGATGCGGAGGTCACATGTGGAAAATTTTTGAGGCCTCCATGTCCCCTTGACTTTCTAGCAGGCCTCAGGTGCTAAACTTGGTGTTGGGGCTAGCCCGCCAGTGCGTGCATGGGCAGCGAAGGTTCCCTGGAGCCCGAGCGTGACGGGGTCTCCAGTGCAGAGTTATATCAGCTGATTCGAGGGTTCCATCAGAGGGTCCTTCGTCTTGAGAGTCAAGTTTCGGACTTGCTCGCTGCCGGCGCCAGTGACTCTGATAGTCAGCTGTCCCTCATTGACTTCAGTTGCATTTGGGGCTCTCCGAACATTCTGCCCGTCCTGTGGGGCTTCTGCGACGCTCGATCCCGGGCACGCCTGCTAGAGTTATCAGGTGACATATCCTTCGATCAGGTCCGTCCGCAGGTGCATGCATTGCTGCTTGCTCAGGGTTTCCCCTGAGCCATGGATCCTTCACAGGCCCATGCGGCCATGGATCGCGCATTGGACTCAGATACTCCTCCGCCCGTAGGGTTTAGGATGGGGGACTGGTTTCGGGCTAGGATTAGGTCTGCTAGGGCACCCTATCAGCCTTCAGTGCACCACGCCATGTCTGTCTTGAGCGCAGCTGCTATCGACATGCCGCTTCCTTGGGAGTCAGGTTCGCTAGCGGCTGTGTTGGGGGCAAGGCGTTTCCTTTCTGCGCCACTCGTACCATTGGTGGCCGAGCAGGTTGGGGACCAGCCACAGGTGAGGGAAACGGCTCAACGAGTTAGGGCGTCTAAGGAACCTTGGAAGTCTTCGGTCGTGCATTCTCGTGCCTGGGCGGATGTCGAGGACGATAAGAGGACCTCGGTGCTTGAGATGTGGAAGCTCATTGTACTGACTTCAGGAAGAGGGACTAAGGTAGGCCGGGATCTTGTTAAGATGCAGAGCGAGGGTTCCCCAGCCGCCTTGGTCGATCAGTGCCTCCGTGATGTGTTCTCGGCAAAGTCAACTTCGACCCTCAGGTCGAGGGCATCCAGCCTGGCCCAGTTTTCCAGGTGGCGGGCATCGGTCGGACTTGACCCTGCAGTGTTTCCTCTTGATGAGTCTGATGCATACCTTTACTTGTGCTTCCTTAGGACCGAGGGGGCACCCCGGTCAAGGGCGTCCAGGTTTCGAGAAGCGGTTAACTTCTCCGGGGCATTGCTCGGGGCAGACGTAAGCGAAGTTGCTTTATCTGCTAGGGTTCAGGGGGCCGCAAATCCTCAATCCCAGACCGTTGTGGTGCGCAAGAAGCGGCCGCTTACAGTGGCCCAGGTCCGTGGCCTGGAAGAGTGCGTGATTAGCTCACCTAATGATTTAGCTGCAGTGCTTGCTGGCTTCGCCTTGTACTGTCTTCACGGCCGGCTGCGTTGGAGCGATGCCCAACATACCGAGGCTGAGCCGGTGCTTGACTTGCATGAAGGAAAGGGTTTCTTGAATGCTCAGTTGTATCATCATAAGACTGCCAATCGTGGGTCGCTTGCCCGGCATAGGCTTTTGCCAGTCGCTTGTGTTACTCCAGGCTTGGCCGAGGGAAACTGGGCTGAGGCTTGGCTAGCTCGCAGGCGAAGGCTTAACCTTGTTGCTTCCCGTGGCACCCCTATGATGCCGAGACCATTGTGCCAAGGGGGGTTCGATGTGCTGCCCCTCGATCCTTCGCTAGGGGCCCTATGGCTTAGGGAGATCCTAAAGGAGTGTGCGCCTTGTGGGAATTCTTTTCCGTGGGGTGAGGTTGCCACGCACAGCCTTAAGGCTACGCTTCTGAGCTTCATGGCAAAGGCAGCTGCGTCTGAGAACCTCAGGTCCATTGCGGGATATCATATCAGGTCTGCGAATTCTTCCACTCTTGAGTACTCTCGGGATTCGATGGCACCATCGTTGCATTTTCTTGAGGGCATGTTCATTGCTATCAAGGGTGGCATTTTCGCTCCAGATTCGACCAGGGCCAGAAGGTGGACCGGGGGCATTCGCTCCATTGAGGAGGCTCTCCGTTTCCTGTCTGGGGTTCAGCCGGACCCACCAGACGATCGTCCACCGCCGGTGGACGCGCCGGAAATCGAACCTGGGGATCAGTCAGATCCTGAGTCCACTGCTGAGAGTATCGGAACGGAGGGCGAGGCTGATGAGGCCGTTGCCTCCGCATATTTCTTGGGTGAGGATCTGAACGTTTCTGCTGAGGCCCGAAGTTTTGTCAAGTGTTTTAGGCATCGTATGAGTGGAGTTGTTCACGCGGCTCGGGATGGCCAGCCTCCTGATGAGGGCGAGATGACAGTCTTCAGATGTGGACGTTTTGCAAACCGTAATTATGTGGAGCTCGATGAAACTCCGGCAATAATCTTGCAGAAGTGCTCTTCGTGCTGGGGAGCAAGTGACTCGGGCCTTTGAGGAAAATTGAACCGGGGCGCGTTCTGCAGTTTGTCGTGGGTAGTCATTGAAGCTGCTTTGAAACGAACGAAGATTTCCATCTCATGTTCGATGTGGCTGTGCTGCATGTTGTTTGAGGATGCTCACGCTGACACTTCATGTCACATGTTGTCATGTTTTGCAGTTTTTCGCTCATGAGCGCATCCAGGTGACCATAGGTGCTTTGCTTGACATATCGGCATAGCTCTGTAATTTTTCGTCTAGTGACACATGTGACAATTTTCCGTAGGTTGCGTCTTGCGGGTGTAGACATGTCCGCCATCGATAGCGAGGCTGTGTTCTTGTCAAAGTGCACTCAGCTGGGGCTGCCCGAGGATGCTCGGGGAAAGCTCAAACGAAAGGGCTGGGCCACTTTCGGCACTTTTGCATTCTGCGTGCCAGGGGAGCCCGGAAGGATTCCCGATGATGTCTTCAAAACCTCCGTTGTGCAGCCAATCCTCGGTGATGGGGGTGAGGAGCATCAGGCGAAACTTAGGCGGCTCCACTTTGAGGCATATGCTTTGACAGCAGCTGAGCTGAAGCGGACGGCCGAGTCCAACCGCGTAAGGTCCCGACGGCAGAGCTCGCTGCTCGTTATGATGTGTTGCAAAGGCGCGTTAAGCCTCTCCGGCTTGTGGACCGCTTGGAGCCTTCGCATGCGCTTGTGAACCTGTCAGCCCAAATGCTTGAGGATCAGCGGGTGCGCTACATTGAGTGGTCGAAGTGTACTAGTCGTGCCCAGGAGATAAATCTTGTGAAGGAGGACGCTAGCTTGAAGCTGCTTCAGGGTGGCCGCTCAGGATCCGTCAAGCTAGTGGATCCCGGTGCTAAAATCACTGCTGATACTAAGTCTGACCTTGAGGTGATGCAGGCCTTGCGTCGCAGAGGGGTGGCATATGAACTTGCTGCCATCATGTCGTTCGAGAGGCACGAGGAATTGATTGACCGACTGTTCATGGAGTACCAACGTGAGCCCATGGCTGGGTTTCACCCCGTCTCCTTCTCTCAACTTCAGGCTGCGGACAGGGAGGTTCATGTTCGCATGGGGGAGCTCACCCGAGCTGGACTTGTGCCAGGGGCGGATGGCTCCTTGCCGCTTGACATCCCGGTGTCTCGGGTGCTGGCGGGCTCCCACATCCAGTGGATGTTGATGCCTCGGCAAAAGGGGTCCGGTCCCTTGGGCAGTTCGGGCGCTGGCGAGGCTAATGAGAAGCCAGACAAGCCACCGCGCAAGCCGCCCACAAAGACGGATCCGTCGAAGGCGACGGATAAGGGTCAGGGCGCCGATAAGAATCAGAAGGCTGATTCCGGTGCATCGCCGAATGCGGCTGAGCGACCTGGCAAGCCACGGAAGACTCGCTTCGTCATGCCAAAGGCGCTCATCGGTGGGGTCCCCAAGGACGGGGCCGGGCGTAACATCTGCTTCGATCATAACCTTGGGAAATGTCCCAATGCTGCGGGGGCCTGCCCAAAAGGGGAGCATGTGTGCTGCTTCCCTGCATGCTTCGATGCCTCGCATGTTTTCTCCCACCACAGGTCGTCGTGACTAGGGCCCGTTCGCTCTAGTTCAGGCCAAGTACACAATGCAACACATGTGCATGACACGGCCACCAGCCATTTTGGCAATGATCGTGATACGAATGCGGAAGTTTTTGCTGCTACCTTGATCGGCAAAGTCGATGCAGGGGGCATTCGTCGTCTTTTGGAGCTGCTTCCCTCGGAGGCACCGTCGCGCGGTTCGCGTGAGGTGGGCCGTGGGTCCGAATTTTCTTTCACCACAGGTGCTTACACCTATGATCATGGCAAGCGGCACGGCCTTCGCCAACATTGCCGCGACTTTCCGATGTCCACTAAGGTTCTGAATGAGTTTATGCGTTCGATGGCGCCGGGCGCCTGCTACACTACACTGGCCTTGTTTCGTGATCTTGAGACCCGGGTCCACTCAGACCACGGAAATGATCCCAGCCTGCTGAATACCATCCTGAAGGTTTCTGAGTTCAGCAACGGCGGCCTCTGGGTCGAGACGGTGGGCGGCAAGGTCCCGTGCCCGCTTCCGCATCAGGGCCAAAGGATGGGTAAAGTTGTCGAGTTTGCCAATGGTGCATTGAGCTTCGATGCCCAACAGCCGGTCCCGAGTCTGCCTCTTCGGTTCTCCCTAGCCCTGGGGTTTTCCCTTTCCCGCCACCGGCGCCAACCCCGGCGCTTGCAGCTTCACCTGTCACCCTGTCTCCTCAGGCGAGCGTCCCAGGGACTGCGCCTCGAGTTGTTCTGTGGTTCTGCTGGCCTTTCGGCCGAGGTGCGCAAGCTGGGGTTCCGCGTGTTGGGAGTTGATCACAAACCCACCGCTAAGCATGCCAATGCACCTTTCGTCAGCTTGGACTTGCGCGACCCAGAGCAGCAGGACCGCATTTGGGTCGAGTTGCGCCGTGCTCAGGCCGTGTGGATTGCTCCCCCGTGTGGGACTGCTTCGATTAAGCTCCTGGGCTCAAGTCGTTTGTAGCATTTTTGGGGTGGGGTAGCGGCAGTTCCGTGGCCAACAGTGTCACGAAGGTTGTCTCCCTGTGGAGGCTTCGCAAAGCTGTCTTCGTGGAACTTGGGCTCTGGGCCTTAACAGGTTTCTTTCGAATAGGGCCCCCGCTGACGTTTCGTAGCTTAGATGCCATGGTTTCAGATATGGATGCTGTTGTCGGCACTAGCGACACGCGCAAGCCACACCTGGCTGTCGCATTCACAGCTTGTTGCAGAAGCATTTGTCATTGAGCAGCATGCTTGTTTTGCAGACGACTTCTTGCGATTTTGCCAGCGCAGCCGGGCTGAGGGCCTGGACGGATCCTTGATGCAAGCAAACTCCACAGGCCATTCCTTGTGCAACAGATGCGTTTTGCAGACGGCTTTGCAACAGCACGGGTTTTCTTCTTGCTATGTGGTTGCTTCGCATGCTGTGGGCTTTGGCGGCCTGCTCAGATCTAGGGGGCTCGTGCTCGCAGAAGACCAAGGGCAAGTGCAGCGGGTGTCTTGGCCCCACCTTGTCTTGAACCGGCCACTTTTCATGCAGACACTAGGTCAAACCACGACAACTCCTACACCTTTGTCGGGGACCACGGCTTTTCATGACTGTTGGCCTTGTCGGTTTTCTAATCAGCAGCTGTGTGCCAGATGGCCAGAATTTTCGACGGGATCTGCTGGCCTCCCTTGCACAGGTGGCTTTCTGAAGTGTGTGCAGTCTTGTTTTGCGCTGGATCACGGGGCAACACCCGTAGGAGTGGGCCGACCATGGCCGGGGGATAGTACAGCTGAGCTTGAAGATTCCACAGGCCACTTTCCTTCATGCCTTCTTGCTGTCTTGCACTTTGAGGGTTTTTGCGGAATTTGTGGGCCTAGGGGGCTCTCGTTTGCAGCTGTCACCAAACACAGGCCGCGGGCACCTTGGAACACTCAGGCTTTGCCTCAGCAGTTGCACATGCCGGCATCAGGTCATTCAGAGCCTGACGGAGCCAGCGAAATGCTTATGCCGCTGTCTGGCACCCTGCTTGCCAATCCACCTATGCCGCCTTTGCACCTGTGGTGTCCTGACAGATGGCCGGAACTTCCGGCTGACTCGACCTACGAAGGCATCTGCGAGCAAGCTAGCTCAGGACCTCTGCGAAACAACCGGAACGGTCACTTAAACAAATTGACCTGCAGGAGATTGTGCCGACCAGGCTGCCGTATCACCAGGCTGTTGCCTAAGCTCTTGCAGTTGGCCAAACATGTTGCCTGGGCACCTGTGCTTCGGACTCACATTCCAACATTATCTGCCTCTCAAGTTTGTGCACAGCTTAATGTTCTCTCGTTGCTGCCTCGAACATGGGTTCCCGCTCGGATCGGTCACGCTCGCCTATGCGAGAGACGATGCGAGCACTCACAGCGGGAGCTACTGCAGGAGATGGCGACAGAGCTCATCGACCTAGTGGTCCCCCAGTACCACACCCGGCAAGCTCTGGAGATGAGCATCCAGCCTTTGGAGCAAATGCAGGTGTGGCACCACACACCCCAGCAGCTCTCTTCCGACCGCCACCAGCGATTGATGCTCTGCCTATGTTCTCCATCACCATGCCGCATAATCTCCAATTCAGGATCGAAGTCATCATCCGCACCGCGCCGAATGAACGCCTCGCGGCCGAGTGACTCTGACTTTGGAGCTTTTGAGAGCCATGTTGCACAATTTTGGACAGCGCTAGCAGATCCACTCTTCTGTCGAAGCGATACCAGAGCTGTTGCAGCAGTGGTGCTGATAAAAATGCTGGGGCTTACCTTTAGATTGTCAGCTGGTAGCTTGCCTTTTTCGCAGCCGCCAACCTGCTTTTCTTCTGGGTTTGTCTGCTTGGCTCCTTCAGGTCCAGCTTTGCCTGCCAAAAGCACACCGACATATCGCATCCGGCTCAGGCCGCTGGATGCTTTCGCTGGGAGCTGGGACTGTTGGGCTTGTTCGTCCTGTATTGCAGGGGTCTACGGTTCTACACGGAACTCCTTCCAACGTGCCAACAGTTGCCTCAGCCGACGGGGCCCACACAAGGTGTGCCAACTTCGCTCTGGCTTCTGCTGCTGCAGGCGATGCTCGCAGACTGGCCCGACGCCTGGCCCGTGCCCAGGTTCCCCGCCATACAGCTCGGACTGCGTACTTTTGTCTGTGCCCGACAGGGCAGCGATGCCTCTGTTTCGGCCGCTTCAGCTGCTCGCTCCGACCCTGCGAAAGCTGGTGTGCATACCCATGGTTACGGCTCTGCCATTGCTACATACCTTAGGCTTGTGCTTGCCTTGGTACGGCAGGCAGCAACAAGATACCGTCTTCACACGGAACCTGCGCCAGCACTTGTGCAACCGTCGGGCTCCTAGCCCTCCTTCGGCTGATCTTGGGCAACTAGCTATACTGGCCTTTCCGTGCTCAGCTGCTGCCCTTAGGAGGCTTCACCGAACCAAGCTTACCAGATCAGGGAAAGCGCGATTCCTGGCGTCGGTGCTGATGCACCCTGTGCTTCTAGCAGTGCTCTCACTAGCATGCTGTGGGTATCCATCTGACATCAGGTGTGATCGATTTGCACAGCCTGGACTGACTAGGCTGCCTCTTTTCCTGGCTTCATATTGTTGGAGTGTGATCTCTCTCTTGCTTGGCTGCTCCAGGATGCGAGGTCGTCGCCTCACACACCGATTATGCAGCGGCTCTTATCGTCGCAGAATTTTGAGGTGTGGCACGGTCCGAACTTGGAGAAATGCACTGACTCTCAAGTTTCCTGTTTCGGCACGCTCTCAGCACGGCATGCGGACTGATTTCCTCAGCAAAGCTGCTATGATGCTCCTTCTTTTGCTCCAGCTTTTCTCCTGTGTCGGCTGTTTGTGTTGCACATGGTGGGTAAGACCAGACAAGCCTCCACCTCGGCAGCTTCGCGTCCACGACCGGCTCGGGGTACTCCGGCTGGCCATTCTCGCCCTCGGGCGAAGCCTAAGGTGCAGCTCACGATCAAGACCGGGGCAGCAGCTGCCTCCAAGGTGGCGGCCAAGAAGGCATCCGCCAAGCCCTCCTCCAAGCCTTCGTCGAGGCCTCGTAGACGGCCGGCGGCTGCTGCTACCTGCTGCTCTTCGGACACTTCTACTTCGGACAGTTCCTCATCGAGCACCACCAGCACGGGGGCAGCTAGCTGCAGCTCCAACTTGGGGCGTGACAGTGACAGTTTGCAAGCCTTGGCACCTCCCATTGACTCACCTGACTCAATGGTGGAGGTGGTTGTCGAGCAGTATGACTTTGCAGCAGCCTTTGCAGAGGCCTTTGGCAGGGCAGTGGGCAGGCAGGTTCCACCCTCTGTTGTCCACGACGATGTGGATAGCGATGAGATTGTTGAGCTTCCCCACCTTGATCCGGCAAAGCCAGTCACCGAGGATGCTCCGGGTGCTTCGGGGGCTCCGACTGCCTCTACCTCTCAGCCGGCCTGGGATGCACCACTTGCCGCGGCACCAGCCACTCGCGCCTGCAAAACCAAGGCCGTGGCAAAAATGCTGGTACGAGCAAAGCTGCGATGCCCACAGTGCTATGGATATCTCAGCGGATGCAAAACAGGCTGCTTGGGCGTGGCCCCCTTTGAGTGACGGTTCACAATTGATCACGATGCGAGGCCTGTGGCCTCTGCAGCCTGTCGTGCCTTTAAGTAGCGAGCCACCTCAGCAAACACAGGATGGCATGAAAATCTGCGATGCGTGCCTGCAGTTGCGTGATGACCGCTCGTGGCGGTTACGACCAATCGACCTTGATTTCATCTGTACAACCATTTCATGTTGTGCTGCTATGCTTCGGTCGACTACTCATGCTTTGGCTCAGCACTCACCATTTGTTTTCCATTCGGTACTGAGTTTCATGTCACGAAGCAGGCCCGCCTCCAGCATTGACGCATGTGCCACTCGACTGTGTCTGTGCCTCTGCCAGGCACTGGTGGCTGCTTTATCTTTCAGGCGCACTGTTTATGCAAGCCGGTCCCAAGCCAGCCCTTGCACTGCCCTATCCCATTGCCAGTCACAACGTGTACAGAGCCCTGCCGGTCCCAAGTCCGGCACGAGTTCCAGACTGCGCCTCAGCCCTTGCTGGCTGGGGGTACTTATCTTCATGACTCTTGCATTCGGAACTCGAGGAGCGAGGGTTGCCGAGGGTGTCGCAACCTCGGCGGGAGCAGGCCATCAGCTCTCAGCAGGTCCCATCAAACCTGTGAAGCCTAGCGACGTGCAGGTGCCACTGTCAGGACCCCGGAAAAGGGCTTTTCGTAGAGCCCAAAACCGGGCCACACGAGACGGTGCCACTTGGTACCGAGGCCGTTGGCTAACACAAAAGCAACTCCAAGCAGCAGGCTCATCACCATCGCATCCCAAATCGGTCAGACCGCGCCCTGCTGCCAGGTCATCGATCACTTGCAAACTTCCGGCGTGGCCGCCAGCAGAAGATGATGCAGGAGCGACCTTTCGAAAAAGCCCACACCAACTGTGTGTCTTTAGTCTTAACATCGGCAGTTTGACCGCCGAAGTTTACGACGAGTTCTGTCGCTGGCTTCAGCTTCCGAGCACCGTAGCCACAATTGACGTGATCTTCCTCCAGGAGACCTGGAGGGGCTCCAGCGATTATGTGGTACCTGGCTGGTGCTGGCTCACGTCAGGCCAGAAACCCCTGCCGGGGCAGGGGGTAGCGATCTTGATCAACCGCCGGCTGGTTGACCCAGCCCTCATCAGGTATCGAGAAGTACGCATTGGAAGAATTCTCCATGTGCAGATACCCCTTTGTAACGAGCCTCAAGGCCGCCTTCTTAACCTGATTTGTGTTTACATACCTGCAAAAATTTCTGAATCCAAACAGGTCTATGAAAAACGGGCGGCGATTTGGAATGCCCTAGACGCTCTTGTGCAGGCCCTTCCCAGCCGACACTTCATGTACCTTGCTGGTGATTTCAACACCGATTTGCTTCAGGAGCATCCTTATGTTGGAGT